GTGTGAAATCAATCAGTTGCAACTAATACGTGATACATTGCTGTTTAGTTGGATGTACCCGTCGACTATAAGCACAGGTGCAAAAATGATAAGCGGCGGAACGAGAACTTACCCTGAGATCACACAATGAATTGAGCAAAATATTGCACGGTTTGAGATCACGATGTAGTACGTTAGCTGAATGTATATATTTCAGGCCTGCAACTAGGATGACAGGCAAAATGTAGGAGTACCTCTGAGCATCTGATACAAAAAGTAGCAAATGTGATCACTGCTCAGTTTTTGCGTTTTTAAGAGACTATGCAGGTCTGTCTCCATGAAACATTCAACAATATAACTGAAATTTCAAAGGCTACAAGAGGGTGCTTACACATCCTTCATATCCTCGAACTTTGAACTGGTGATGATGTCATACACCTGAATTATCTAAAGGAAAATGCACAAATTTTTCAATGGAACGAACGTTCTCATGATCCAGTCTGCTGAGGATACGAATCTCCCGATATGTCCTTTGGCAGTATGTCTGATGTTCAAATGGAGAAATTTTCTTGATCGCCACCTTTTCATTCCGCTCCTGATCATAAGCAGAACTACCTGGTCAATGTAGACACACAAAAATCAACTCACACAACCATTCCGTATGCACCCTCACCAATATAACGAAGGTCTACGAATCGCGGGCCCACTTCAAAATGTTGACCTCGGACAGTTACTACATCTTGAGCTCCTGTGCCGTCCAACTTATGGTTGGCTGCGACCCCAGGTGAATCAGAAGAGGCCATTAAAGTACACTTGTTATCGTGGCAGGGACACAAAGTGCACACGAAATCCAAGTTCGAGGGTATCCTAATCCCATTCAGCTGTACGTGTTTCCGCGCGCACCTCGGAAAAAGCGCCTTTCAGATATGGTTTTGTTTAATGTGACCAAACAAAGCAGCGCGTTCATTCATACAACGAAGCCGGATGCTCCCATTTGGATGCAACAATATCAAAATAGCTGTATATAGGAGAGATCGCATACCACCTCCTAACTTACGAAGAGAAGGCGAAGAAAATGTTGCAAGTTTGTCCACCAACTGTTCCATTCCTAA